GAACTCATTATCATAATAGGCCACACCCAACAGCAGATGCTCATTAGCATATTAGGCCACACCCCCATGCCTTCCCTTGGCTTGCCCGGGTACCCTGCAGCAGTGGGGAGTCTGGGAAAGCCAGCCCTAGGACAGGCTGGGGAAGGCACGAGGAGGCATATAAATGCCTCCCCGATCCTTCCAGGGTACCCCCTGGCCCGCCCGCCTTGGAGTCACCGGTGGGGTCACTCTCCAGGCCTTCCTTCTGTAGCCACGCACGCAGAGGTTTTGGCTGTAGTGGGCGTGGCCAACTCTGAAGCCAGCTGGAACTCCGTTCCTGTGCATTCCTGCCCCAAAATAGCCCTGGATATAGTCAATATAAAGATACATCTATTAAGCAAAGGACTAGGAGTACAGAAAACTGAATAAGATAAGCATATTAGACATGATACAGAGTGCAGATATAATGCAGAAGAATAGTATCAGCAGAAATTTCCCCCCTTTTTTTCACTGAATACAACACTCGTTGCAGAAAGCCTCCTTAGAGTTCTTATTTCAAACTCCCCATCTGCAGCTCTTAAAGGGGAAAGGCTAGGACCCAGAAGGAAAGGGATTCATACACAAGCATGCTTCTTTGTTTATCAGACAGTGAGAGATGCCACGGAGCAAAGATTAAAGCAAAAAATACCACTTTGTTGCCTTTAAAACACAAATGGAATATACTACATCCAAGTGTTGGGAAGCATTTGCTGCAAAGACAAGCACAGGTCTGAAACGCCCAGAATTTCAAAATACTAAAACATTGTTTATTTGTTTTATTTATTTATTTATCTATCATTCAATTTATATCCTGCCCTCTCCACAAGCAGGCTCAGGGGGGAACACAACAGTCAAATAATAGTACAAATAAATACAACTCATAAAAGTTTAAAATTTAAAATCAACACAGAACAACACTATCTCTGGCATCCACCACTGCCTCCTACTGGCACAGGGCATATGAAGACTAACAACAGAACCCATTCTGCAAATGCCAGGATGGTTTTTAAGGGCAGTTCACCCAGGCAGTCTAGGCAGGGAAGGCCAAGATCTTCAGGTGTTCACCACCTCAGCCAAAGGCCTGGCAGCTCCGTCTTGCAGGGGCTGCAGACTTGTACTATATCCCACAGGGCCCTGATCTCGAGCGGGATCATTTTCCACCAGGCTGGGGCCAGGACACAAAATGCCCTGGCCCTGGTTGAGGCTAAGCGGACATCTTTTGGGCCAGGGACTACATACTGATGTTGCTCAGCAGAGCGCAGAGTTCTTTGGGGCACATAAGGGGAGAGGTGATCCCGCAGGTATGTTGGTCCCAGGCCACATAGGGATTTAATACCATAACCTTAAACCGGATCCGGTACTCAATATGTCAAATCACTGAAAAGTATACCCTCTTGAGAGTCCCTTGGACTGCAAGGAGATCAAATCAGTCAATCCTAAATGAAATCAACCCTGACTGTTCCCTGGAAGGACAGATACTGAAGCTCAAGCTCAAATACTTTGTCCACCAAATGAGAAGGGAGAAGATCCTGATGCTGGGAAAGACTGAAGGTCAAAGAAAAAGGGGACGGCAAAGGAAGAGATGGTTAGACAGTGTTATTGATGCAACGAACATGAAATTAAGCAAACTCCGGAGCATGACGGAAGATAGGAGGGCCTGGTGTGATGTGGTCCATGGGGTCGTGAAGAGTCAGACTCAACTGTGCGGCTGAACAACAACAAATGACACATGGCTATTGGAGGCTTAAGGCACATAATAGTCTTTTCAATGTGATTGGCCTTCAGTGCCATGCACTGGAGTTCTGAGGGAAAAGTAACCTAAATATTACCTTATGAAGGAGAATTTCAGAGGGAGCTTCCAGCTGCTCTCAGGAGTATCAGAATCCCAACCAACAAGATTTTTTTCCCTTCCCCATCAGATTAGTGGACAGAAGGCACAGGTTAGAGAAACATTTCAAGCACTGGATTCCCATCCTCTTTCAAAGATCTGCCAAGTTCAGAGACCACAGTTAGGGGGACATTTTGGAGGGTCGTATCAATTGCGGAATACCAGGACGGGAAATGGAGCAAAATCCAGGTACCCATGCTTCTCAAAATGGATTAAGGAGTTTGATGTTAATTGCACTCTTTGCCAAGCACAAATGAGGCAAAGGATAGTAATAGAGTAGAAAAAAATAAGAATAAGGGGGGATACAGAAAGGAAATACAGGCTCAGGGTAAAATCTATGAGCACAATAGACATGTTATTAAAAACTTACGTAGGAATCATAACTCTATTCTATGGTTAAACCACAACACAATAATCTTACAGTCTGAACATTAGATAAATTTACTGAAGGAAGTCACTTAATCCTAGTCCTTCCAGTATGGTTAAATCTCAGTTGTAAATGCCAAGTATAGAGGCATGTTAGAAACAGACACTGCATAGGATTCCATTAAAGATGATTAAGGAGAAGTATCCCACGGATATCAGTTCAGTTATACATGTTGGCACTTTGCAATAAATAAGTGGGTTTTGGGTCGCAGTTTGGGCACTCGGTCTCTAAAAGGTTCGCCATCACTGCACTACACCAAACTGATAATTGGGAAACACTTCAGTGAAACATCCCTCAATAGAGGGAATCAAAGCACTGTCTGTGCTTTCTATAATGACTGTAGCAAATGCTATAAGACCAATAAGGAAATAAATTAAGCTATGCTCAGGCAAGAAGATACTAAGATTACACTGCACACACATGGATACAATCCTATGGAGCTTATTCTCGTCAACCCTAGTAAATCTTTAATCAAAGTTAAGGAAATAGTAAATAAAATTGGAACTGTATTGCAATATAAAATAAATGAGGCTAAAATAAAATTAATTTTATTTCTACTTGGATGCTAATCAAAAGTGAGAAATAAACTATGGAGTAGAAAATTAAAAAAATTAGATATTTAAAGTGATCTCTTCCCTAGAAAACTGAGAGGTTGGCGGATACAAATTATGGTCCATTAATAAAGCAGATGCAAAAAGATATAAACATTCTGAGAAATGCATTTAGAAGAATTTCACAGACAAGGGTGCCTATAGGGTTGCCAAGTTGATCTTCGTCGGGAGTGGGGGGCTCCTGGCTGGTGTCTGGTGCGCGTGCGCGCGAAGCAAACACGCGCCACACGCACGCCACCCGGAAGTGACGGGAGGATGCCAGGCACGCTGGGGACAGGGCCACGGCCATACAAGGGAAAACCATAGAGTTTTCCCTTGGATGGCCATGGCCCCACCCCCAGCGTGCCTGGCATCCTCCCGTCACTTCCGGGTGACGTGCACGTCGGGGCAGAGTTCCCCCCGGGGCCCGATCCAGCAGCGCTGGGGAACAAGCCTCTGGGGCGGGGGTTTCCCCGCCCCCCGGGGAGACTTAAGATCCCTAGGTGCCTACCAGGCCCAGATTAACATTTCCTTTCCATGCCATACTAATTATGGTTAGTGACAAGCAACAACAACAACAAAAACCTGACAGAAAATTATACAGACCTTTTGTACAGTGGGCTGGCGATCAAGAGTACACATGAGCATTTTACAGAAGCCCAAGGAAAAAAGGGAGGGCCCCCTCCTGGACCTGAGCCACCACTAAAGGCAATGCCACAGAGGCTTGGCTTGAACACAGCCAGCAATAGCACAGGCTCGGGAGGGGATGCCCATTATCTCCCATGCCACTGTTATCTGGGAGCAAATGGAGCTCCAGGGGCATCAGCAGCTTTACCACTGTGGTGCCCAAAGCACCATCTTGGGTCAGTGGCTCGGCCACAGAACTGGCCCTGTGTGCTGCCCAAGTACAAGCAATATTTAAGTGTGTGTATTAGGTGCGAAGAAGACATGTATTTTGCAACACATGAAACAAAGGAAATAAAAACAGCATTGAGAGACCTGTCTCTACACAACAAATATATACCTACAGAACAAATATATTTTGTGCTTATATCATTTTGCATCACCCACAGCATTCTAAGAATTGTAGTTTGTGGGGGGACATTGAGAATTCTCTATCAGAGATCATTAGCCTCAGGCAGCAGAGAATTACAATTCTCAATGTTATCTGGGAAGAGAGAACAACTATTTTTAAAAACTGGTCTTATGTAGACATTCCTTAAAAGAGAAACAAATGGAGAGAAACAGAGAGAGAAAAGGGATAAATAAAAGGAGGGGATTAACACTGTAATTGTTGCATGCTGATCTGAAAAGGCCGAAGATTGCTTTTTTAAATCAATCACATTTTTGAAAATTGAGATCATAATGCAGTTCTTAGCTCTTTTAAAAAAAGAGTTGAACGCATTAACATATGTAAATGCTACCACTATAGGGACCCACTGAGATGTATCACCTTTGCAGGCCTCGGACTGGACAGATCATCCTTTATTTGAAATACAAGAGAAATCAATAGCTTAACTGCACCGTGAATTAACCACTGACCAAGAAGGCGTCACATCCAGCAAAATGGAGTCATCAACAGATTGTCAGAATGGAGAACGCGTATCTAAGCCCACCATGGGTATTCAAATCTTAGAGCGCTCTTCAGGCTTGGAATGGAACTGGACTAGACAGCTATGCAATTGGCAGGCTGTATGGAGGCACTAGATCAGCCAGGTCCGCTGTAAACAGTAGGAGCCTTTTCTTCTGGCCTTGGCCTGATTAACCGAATAATATCTTCGTCCAGTTTTACTTCAAGCTCCAGGCCTTGCCCATGTCCCCAGTTCCACCAGTGGTGGGCATGGGCCCTGAACTGGGAAACCCTAATCCCAAATCCAGATCCAGGTACAACCAGTCATCATGCTAGCCTCACCCTGGCACAGTTCAGAACACGAAAAAGATGCCTGTGAGAATGCCAGCAGAGAAGGGGGTGCAACATATGAACCATCACATTTAGTTCAGCACTTGACGTATGTACATGTGCTAACTCACAGACATCTAAACCTCCACTAGACACATCTGAAGATGGTAATCAGTATCATAAACCCCTTCGATCATCAAACTGCCATAAAACAAAATCAGGGTGCAGAAGCCCAGCACGTTCCACCAGGAGGAAAGGAATCCTGCTTGCCTCTAGCACCACTTACCATCTCCTTGTGATTGGGATAGAAGGTTTGGTCAATGAGTGGGAATTCTTCCGGTCCAAGTTTGCGATGCAGACGAACCATCTGGGCAAACTGTTGAGAGGAAGTACAGTGAGAGAGGAGGCACAGATGGACCTTCTGAACATATTTTCTCTGGATTCTTCTCTGACCACCCTCTCCCAATGCCTTCTTCCTCCTCATCTTCCCTGCCCACCCCTTTCCCTTCCTTAGGGCTGCTCTAAAAGACTGTTCAGAATTGGATGCTTCATCCGGTATAGAACACTGTGGCTCAGCTACTCTCAAAGACAGGCATGGAATTCCTAGGGGTATCACATGGCTTAGGAACGCGATCATCAGTATGCTGATGACACCCAAATGTACTCTTTCTTTTCATCCCATCTACATGAGGCTGTGGAAAGAGCTATTTAGAATCAGTAATGGGCTATATGGGGTCCATCACACTGAAATTCGATCCAGATCAAAGCAAGGTACTGTTAGTCAGGAACAGTCAGTTAGAACCAAGGAACTGGAATTTGATATAGCCGAACAGTTTGGCATAGTCAAATTTGACACCAAAATTTAGGAACTGCCTCCCTCTATTGGTGTTTCCTGCCAGTGGGTGGAGAGACCTTGTTTCATACGGCACACCTCAGCAATGGTTATTGGCTCTCCTCTGTTTTTACTGAATTACCTTACAATTTTAGACATTGTTTTAAATTGTTCAAATGTTTTATTATTTATTTATTTATTTTGGCATTTTTACCCCGCCCTCCCCGCAAGCGTTCACCACCTTGGGGCCCTGATCAGGTAGAAAGGGGGCATAAAAATGTTTTAGATAAATAAATAAATATTTTGGCAGCTGGTGCAGAATGCTGCACCTCAGCTGTGATCAGGAGCTAGATGGAGCGTGCAGGTTACTCCCATTCTGCGGTCACGCCACTGGCTACCCATCAGGGACGGGGCTCAATTTAAAGATACTGGCTGTCACATACAAAGCTCTTGGACCTTCATATTTGTGAGACCCTAGTCCCTCCTCCTAGGCTCCACCACAAGAGCTTCTATAATCTGAACAGGGCCTTCTGCAGGTAAGGTAAAGGTTTCCCTTGCTCAAAAGCCAGTCAAATCTGACTCTGGGGGTGCGGTGCTCATCTCCATTTCCAAGCCGAAGAGCCAGCGCTGTCCAAAGACATTTCCGTGGTCATGTGGCTGCCTTGACTAGATGCTGAGGCGCACAGATCGCTGTTACCTTCCCACCAAAGCGGTACCTATTCATCTACTTGCAATTTCTTGCTTTCGAACTGCTAGGTTGGCAGCAGCTGGGACCAGAGACGGGAGCTCACTCCGTCATGCGGCACTCGGGTCTCAAACTGCTGAACTACCGATCTTCCGGTCTGCAGTTTAGCGTCTTAACCACTTAACCAACCTGCAAACAGGCAAAACCAACAGCTGCCCATACATGTGCCTTATCTGTCCTGGCAATAGGGTAGCACTGTACAAAATGATACAGTAAGTTACTTGGACTAATTATATGGGGCTGTGGTCTATACCACCGTGGATAGTTTGCTGTAAATTAGATCCTACTATATAATCTCGCATAATTTAAATGTGTCATGTTAACACTTATGCTTTGCTTCTATTCTGTTTGTTAGATTCTACAACCCACATCCTGTTACAGTTTATTGAATGTCCCATCCTGCTGACTGTATTGACTCGCTCTGCGTAATCCACCCTGAGTCCCAGTGAGAAAGGTGGGCTAGAAATAATGTAAATAGATGACTTTAAGCCACCTTGAAGATTTATGTTAGAAGGGAAGATATAGCTATTTTAAACAAAACTAAAATAACAATTCAGTCCTGTTTTGGTGTGGTTGTGCTGGCAATTTAGCAGTCAGGAGTCCAGTTCAAAATGGTTATTATTATTATTGCCTTGAAAGTCGTATGCTCCTTAGGCCCACATTTCCTCCTGGAATGTCTTTATCTATTTTAGCCTCCCATCTCCTCCCACTTAATTCTCTACTCCACACTTCATCCATTTTCGAAGCAAGACCTATTAGGACATAGAGTGGAGCAACCTCAGCGGCGGCGGCTTCCCAAAGGAAATCTGCCAAGTGGCTTCGCTGACTGCTTCTTGCTGTTTATTTAGATTTTTTTTTAAATGTAATTGGCTCATGCTGTTTTACTTGTCTATTTCAAATTATCTTTATTTACATATGCTATATTCTTTTGTGGCTGTTTGTAGTTGGTTTGGTTCTTAAATCCTGTACTCTGCCTGCAGTAATTTCTCATTGGAAAGGAGGCCTGATAAACACTGTAAATAATTAATAAAGAAAACCAGCCTTATAAAATCCGCAAACGTTACGGTTGTACAAAATAAAATTAGCCAATAAACTTAAATCTGACTGTTTGCAATACTTTTGTTTCCCCCTTCCCATGCTGAATAGCCTCCTGTGCCGCCACCCAAAGCCTAAAATTGCATATAGAATCACAGAGCTGGAAGGGATCTTCAGGGTCATCTAGTCTAACCTCCTGCACAATGCAGGAAATTCACAATAACCTCCCCCAGACACACACCTGCAGTGACCCCTGCTCCATGCCCAGAAGATGGCAAAAAAAACTCCAGGATCCCCGGCCAAACTGGTCTGAAGAACAATTGCTTCTAGACCCCAAAGTGGTGACCAGCATTTCCCTGGGCGTGTAAGAAAGGGCCACAAGAACTAAGCACTGATGCAACTTTCCTGCCCTCCCTCTCATGATCTGCCTAAGTTCACAGAATCAGCATTGCTGTCATCTGTTTGAAAACCTCCAAAGAAGGAGAGACCGCCACCTCCTGAGGAAGCCTGTTCCACTGAGGAACCGCTCTAAGCCTGAATCTCCCATCAGATCTCTGCGTATGCCACTTACCACCCATGGCTTGTCACAAAAGTTGTACACTGAATGCAGGGAGTTGACACTGGGCACACCTGCGTACTGCAGCCCAATCACAATGCCCCGATGGTCTCCACCACGGGCCATGCTGAAGGCATGCTGGCGGATCAGCACAAAGTCCGGCTTCAGGCTCCTAGGAGAGGGGAATAACAAAACAAAGAGAAGGAACGCCCATTAAAAAGTCATCTTCTTATGGGAAAGAAGAAGAAGACAAACGCAGTCCTGAGAAGGAAGATGGAGATGGAATAGAGCCATCTTCTGGTGAAGAATCAGACTCAAATCTGGGGGCTGCGGCCCCAAAACGAGGCTATAGATTAAGGAAGCCAAAAGATAAAAAATGACTTGTTATTTTAACTCTGAAGTTTAAAGAATGTTTAAAATAAGATTTCTTAGAATCTTTAAGAAGTCATAGTAGGCGATGTTTAAGCTAGAGCAGAAGTTTGAAAGATGATGAACATGTTCAATGAATTCATATGAATATTTAGCTATATAAGCATGTAATCTTGTTAAAGCAGTTTGTATGACACCCACTCTTGGGTTTTTAGAGGTTTCTTTACTTTATCCTATAGTATGTAGTCCCTTTCCTATTTTTTCATGTAGTGTTTAGTTTTAGAAAATGCAATAAAAAAATCCCCTTCGGGGGGCTAAAAAAAAGTCATCTTCTTGCACTTGTCCACGAAACCTCTTGCCTGACATTCCTACCAAAATAGGATCTGAGTGTCTTGGCTCCTTGTTGTCAGCCCACTAGATCTCAGGAACGATCTCACTCTGCATGTGTTCCTATCTTTCCTTTCCTCCATTGCCCACTGAAGAATCCATAGATCCTCAGTAGGGGTGGATCAACCATAATGCCATGTAAGCCAAAAAAAAACAGGTACAAGGCACAGTTTCTCAGCTTTCAGATACAAATGAGAACCTGCCCATCTTGCAGAATTGCATTAGGACACAAAACTGGGCTTGTTTCACCCCAGACTCTCTCAAGGTTTTCTCTACTCCTCAAAGAAATTTAAGGATCATGTTTACCCATCACTCTCCATGGTTTTAGCACGGCCTAACACAGAAATGGCCGACAACTGCATTCTCGGGGACCTCTCTGTTCTCCAAATAATACAAAGGCCTGTAACCAGAATTATTTTGTTAGGGGGGGGATTTTTTTGTTAACGGGGTAGTTTAGCACAGTGGAGAGCAACACATAATGTGTCTGTACAGAACTGCCATGCTTATACTTCTAAATAATTAAGTCAAGTGGTCCCCTAGATGGGCCTATTACACACACACAGCTTACTGCAGAGAATCCAAGCAGTCAAGCCTTTAAGCATGACTTTGGATTCTGTGCCTGCAGTACACGCCATTCTTTTTTCTCTGGTGTTTTTATTCTGCAGCCCAGCCATTGGACTGCCATTTTCTGTCGCCTGGTTGGGCAGGCAGCCCAGCCGGGATCGCTGTGTCTGCGAGGAGCCAATGGCCCCCAGCAGGCGCAGCTCTGCGCTGCCTTTTCCTGCTGCCTGGTTGAAACTGGGCAGTAGGAGAGGGCAGGCCAGCCAAGAGTCTTCTTTTTTTTACAAGCAACATGAGACTAGCAATAGTCTCATATTGATAGACTTATGCCGCTTGTTAAAAAAATTAAAATGTACAACAACAAGGGATTCACCGATGAATGGCGGAAGGTACAGAGTAGGCACGATGACCTCAGTGTGGGTGGGGGAGTGACCTTCAAGGAGCAGCAAAGGGGTGGGGGGGATCCAAGGGAATCTATATGCTTTTGAATTACTTTTGGCTCAGAAGTGAAACAAGGGGGAAATCGGCACAAAACCACTCCCAGAAAGCCCAGGGAAACAGTGACCGGAAAGTGAACAGAGCACTGAATAGGTGGAAATCAATACAGAACAAAAAAGAAAACTCGACAGACACGTATGGCGAAAGTGAGGCAAAACACCCGTGTATAATAAGCCTAAGTCAAGTGGTCTAGGCCCAATTCAAGTGGTCTATCACACACAGTTATCACCTGAGAGGAGCGGAAGAGTTATTGGAATTTGAGTTGCAGTGTAAACACCTTGACTGTGATATAGAGCAACTCCCAGCTAGTATATTGGGTCTGAACACAGAAATTTCAGCTTTGGAACTTACTGCTGGCTTTTGACAAGTCTCCAACTCAAAGAGTTGTTACAAGGGTAAAATGAAAACAGTACAATAGCAAAGTGGGGTAAAAGCACCCAACGTGGAGCCTATGGGCACGTCTACACTCACCAACACCTTTTCTTGTGCCCACCAAGTGTTTTAGAAAATGGGCAGGGCCAGCTAGGATTTTTGCCCAGTAAAGTCCTGATTGACTACTGGAGTTTTGATTGCCTGTGCATATCTTTAAAAGTGTTGCCTTGGCAGCAGCTGCCGCCACATCACAAGGATCTGCACTGTGTCACTGAAGTTAAGCTCTGGCAATCATTTTGTGGTTGGCGCTACCTCCTGAGGCAGCCATTTTGTGGCAGCCATTTTGTTGCTTCACCCATATGCCATGTCAGAATTCCAAATATGCCCACAGTTTCAAAAAGGTTGGGGACCACTGTCCTAAATCTTAACAGAAAACCGTTAATATTTTTAGGCTGCTTTCGATTTGATTGCTTTCGATACAAGACCAAATCAAATTAAGACACCCATAGTAATTTTAAACTCTGTACTTAAAAATTAAAATGATTAAGCTAATTGCACCATGTGTTGCAAGTGGCAACAGAAATGAAATGCAGGCACTCGTTGTTTAATGGGGTGACTATAGGCATTGGTGTTTAAAATAAAAAAAGTTATGATCATCTTATCAGTGAGGAATCCATGGTGTGGTAGGGCAGCAACTCCCCCACCCAAGATCTTGGTGAAGACAGTGTCTTTTGCACCACGTGCATGGCATTGGCTGAGCAGACTCAAAGGCTACTACTACTTGGAGAGCTGGAGGATGGGGTTGCCAGTTCTGGGCTGGGAAATACTTGAAGATTGGGGGTGGAGCCTGGGGATGGCAAAGTTTAGGAGGGGAAACAAGTCAGCTGCTATAACTCCATAGAGTTCATCCTCCAAAGTGGCTATTTTCTCCAGGGGATCTGAACTTGCTCATCTGGAGACCAACTATGGTAGTGGGAGATCTCACGTGCTACCCTACTGGAGGAGGATGAGGAGGAAGGCAGGGGAGAGCAGGAGAAGCTGGGGAAACACTGAAAAAGAGGAAGAGGGAAGTGGGATGGGAGGCAAGACCACCAGGGCTAAGAAAGGGGCTGCCCTAATCAGCCAGAATCACTGCTTTGCAGTAGATGCAGCAGCGAAGCAAGGGCTCCACCACCACCTCGGAACACTGTCCACGGATCAGGGAGAGCATGCAGCTGCTTTGCCACCCATGCAGCCACAGTAACTTAAGAAGGATGGGCTTGGGTTTTCCAAGTGCATGGGGGGAAAAAAACCCATTCCCCACCTTCAACAGTGCTTTACCCACCATTTTCCTCCACCCCTTTCCAAGTTCAGACTCCAAGCAGGCCTCCTCTCCCTGGAAGGGTGTAGGAAAAAAAAAAACCTCCAAGCCCCACAAACTTTCCCTATGAGGAAAGGTTAAGGCGCTTAGGGCTCTTTAGCTTGGAGAAACGACGACCGAGGGGTGACATGATTGAGGTTTATAAGATTATGCATGGGAAAGAGCAGGTAGAGAAAGAGGTACTTTTCTCCCTTTCTCACAATACAAGAACTCGTGGGCACTCCATGAAATTGCTGAGCGGTCGGGTTAGAACGGATAAAAGGAAGTCCTTCTTCACCCAAAGAGTGATTCACACATGGAATTCACTGCCACAGGAAGTGGTGGCGGCTACAAGCATGGACGGCTTCAAAAGGGAATTAGATAAGCATATGGAGCAGAGGTCCATCAGTGGCTATTAGCCACAAGGTATAGATAGGGACTCTGGGGCAAGGGATGCTCTGTCTTCTTGGTGCTTGGGGGGGGGGCAACAGTGGGAGGGCTTCTAGTGTCCTGGCCCCACTGGTGGACCTCCTGATGGCACCTGGTATTTCTGGCCACTGTGTGACCCAGAGTGTTGGGCTGGATGGGCCTTTGGCCTGATCCAACACTGGCGTCTCTTATGTTCTTATGTTCACAGTGGCCAAAGGAGGTCATAATTCACAGCTTGTTACCATTTCAGGCACCCCGTCTCCCTGGAGACTGGCGTGAACTTGAGTACAGTGGCAGGGCAGGGAAAGGGCCCCGTGCTTGCTGTGCATGGCAGAAGGCTTCCCAGTGTTGTTTCTTCCCCAGGGCTCGTCTCTCTTGAGCCATCGGCACCCCTGCTCAGAGCCCCTGAAGGCAGCAAGGAGCTGAGCCAGCACACGTGTGGTGCATTTGCTTAAAGGGAGGAGGCAGCTTTTCAAATGCAGAGGGCAAAGCTTCGCATTGGGCTTGTTTTCCCTCCCCACTGCTCTTCTGAGCGAAGCTCCAAGACTAAACTGCATGCTTTGCGCTCTTTGGGCCTGGAGGAGGAGCATCAGGCACACATAGGCTTGGCACTGCCTCCATGCCCGAGCAGGGTTTTTCTTCGCGCTCTTTCAGCTTGGATGAATGTCCACCGCAAGTGAGAGGCAGTAGCTGAAGAATGGCTGCAACCAGTGTTCCCTCTAAGCTGAGTTAGTGTGAGCTAGCTCACAGTTTTTTTAGCCTCCGGCTCACATATTTTTGTCTTGGCTCAGGAAAAGTGGCTCCAGAGCAAACTAATTTATGCAATAGCCAAATCGCTCGCTCACAACTTAAATGCAAGTAGCTCACAAAGTAGAATTTTTGTTCACAGGACTCCATAGCTTAGAGGGAACATTGGCTGCAACCCAGGAGGAGGAGGAGGCTGCAGAGTCCAGGGAAGGCTTTTTTCCCTGAAGCTGCATGCAACCCTACCATGGGGTGGGGGGGGGAGAGATACTTACCTGTTCTCTCAAGCTCCAGCTACAATGCCACAGATTGGTTTAGGTGGGAAATACATCAAGCGTTAAAGCTTGAGGAGAGGGTGACGTTGGACTCTTTAGCCTGCCTCCTACATGAGGAAGAAAGCTGACTGGTGGGGCATGGCACGTTTTGGATAGGGCGTGGGGGCCCCCCTCGCCCCCCCCCCCCCCCCCGGGCTACAGCCTGACTAAGGGGAACAGTATTTCAACACACCAATTGCCCTCTTGATGCTCAAGTGTTACCAGAAAGTCAGTGCTTCTGCCACCAGTGTCTTGTCCCACCTAGTACAAACTGTAGGGCCTCTGGATCACAAAACGCATTTATCTAACAAACAACACATGGAAGAATGCTGGTGCTCAACAAATAGGAGCAGAAGTACACTGTGCCAGAACAGGGCTTGGAAAGACTCACAGTATCTCAGAGGCCAGAGATTTCTAGGGGGCAGGGATTCGTTGCCCAGCATAGTTCTCCAAGTGACAGATGGAATAATTGATATGCAGAAGCAAAATATATGCACATTCACTTAACTTTCACATGCTATTCCAGTGTAATGCATATTTTCTTGATGCAGAAACTGACTCTTGGCTAAGAGGGAGATAACTTGGAGAGGACAGAGGCAGGCATCAGATTCAAAATCTTAGGATAAAAACTAGACATTTTGCATGAGATTCATGAACAGATGGGAAATCCATGTCTAGATCTCTTCTGACTTCTTTCTTCTTTTTTTTAAGATGAGCTATGGCTGAGAATGGTTCCTACCTGCCCATAGCAGTAATAAGGTGGGGATGTCGAACACTTTCAAAATCCCTTCCACCCTGCCCCAGCCCAGCTTTGAACAATCTACGGTCCATGTATTCTCCTCTGCCTTCCCCACAGAACAGCAGCCAGCATGAACAGAGCAAGTAATATCAGGAAGAGGCAACATCTTCTCCCCACAGCCATAACTGTGAGCAAGCTGGCAATCTCCAAAGTGCTACCAAGAAATAAAAAGGTTACATAGTCATACTTGATTATACACATTTTAACTACGGCAAGAATTTTACTTGCCAAATATTGGAAAACTCAAGAAATACCGTTAAGGGAGGAACTAATAGGGAAATTATTGGAAATAGCCGAAACGGATAAACTTACTATGATTTTACAAGGGGAAAAGTTGGAAATATTCTTGAATATTTGGTCTAGGTTCTATAGCTGGTTGGAAAAATGACCATTGTAACTACCTATTGAATGGTAAGATAGACTGTAAAATAGATAGCTAGGTTGACTGATGGCTTCTCTCGATCAAGATCATTATTTTTTTCTTTTTTCATTGCAATTATAATAAAATTATTTATGAGGAGGGGGAGAAATAAAAAGGTTAGGAAACACCCCTGATTGAAATAACAAATGAAAATTGCTGCATGATCTTTTTATCTCTTACCTGACCACCTTGACACCATTGCGTAGAACCTCCATGTCAACAGAGAAGTTGCCATTGGCATGGGCCACCAAATTGAGGTCGGAGAACTCGGCCTGGAAGACACAAAAAAGACCAATCCACACAAGATGAATATTTACACTTCAGCAGATACCTGTGTCACTAAGCTGCACAGAGCAATCTGAAGAGGATTGGGGGGCACAGAAAAGATGCCCATTCAGCTATCTGGTTTGTCTGGTACGGGGCAGTTCACAGTTAGGAAGCACAGTGGTTTTCAAACTGCTTTTGAAGAAACATTGGGAGTTCTTTGAAGTTTATCAGGGATTCCTCAATGAGAGGATCAGTAATAGCACCATAGGTTCCCTGAAAGACTGCAAGCCCGTCACTACCAATCTTCCCCTGCAATGTACAGGCACAAGAGAGTGTTGGACATATTTTACTGTACATTATGTCTGTACAGGGTAAGGGTGAGGCCCAGCGGATCTGGCTAATGCACCAAACAAACCACAGCAATGTACTCTTCAACATGCCAGAGGGAATCAACAGAGCAAGTTAAAGAAAGTTTAGCCATTACTGGAATCAGCCTCAGGTCAGGATTTCTTCCATCATGGCAGATGCACAACACAAATGACTTCATCAATGTTCTTTTGGAGGCTGAAATTGTATTTCCAGGGTTCAAAGGTTAACTTGTCCATGGCAAATTCTGATGGGGTGTGTTCATCATCAGATCTCAGCTGGAGACTCGGGCACTCAAGACCAGACATGGAGGGTATATTCTTCAATTCAGTGTCCTTGAGCTAAAAGAACTGAAGCTCAAAGTGTGCTGAGCAGAATACCTTGCTCTGTGTGTGAGCCAAAAAAAGCATCAAGACAGGTTCCTAATAATTTCTAATGCCAGACCAACTTAGTGGCTTCACACAGCCTGCCAACTGCAGGGAGCAATGGTATACACCCCTATTATTTTCAAAGAGGCCCCTGAGAAATTGGGATGTGTTTCTGACACATCTGGGACCCCATGCCTGCTGTAGCCTGGGGAATATAGCCCTCAAGGTGCTGGCTAGACATTATGTAAAACATCTTGAGAACTACATTCCCCAGAGTGCAGCAGGCTTAGCATATCAGCACTGCCCAGGGAGAGAAGGAAGAAGAGAAATTATCTCCTTACCCCCCCCCCCTGACAACTGGTTGGTTGCCCTACTGGTCACTAGCCTGCCTGGCCAGTCATCTGCCACTACCGCAACTCCAGAGCTGCAGAATTCTACCTGTAAGTGTATGGAGCAGGGGAATGTCATTTTTGTTTTCATGTTCCATCCAATGGACCGAAAGGACAATCCAGTACCTATAGTCCTAGATAATTAACTAGAAGAGGTTCAAGTCCAAGAATCTGATGTTCACTGTTCAAGCAGCCCCATAATAAAACACCAAGACAGAAACTTACCTGTTCCACTTTAATGTCCATCTCCCCATGAAGTTTCTTCCCCTTGAAATATTTTGCCCTAGGGATAGAAACAGTTAGAAACTTTTAATGCCTGGACAATCAGAAGAATTGGTTCTTTTCTGGGACAATGTGACTTCTCAAACCAAGACTAACTTCCCCAATGCACATCTGCATAGCACACCATATTCCCTAGTGCTACATCCATAGTGCCAATAGAACTGAACTTGAGCCTCACCATTAGCACCTGGGCCCTATACTGCCCACCGATATCACATAGTATTGACTCGCAGCCATCCATTTTAACAGCCAAGATCCCATATTGCCATTGATGTGGTACATGATCACAACTGCCAGAATGACTTATGCGCAGTGTTGGAAACAAGATAAGGTTCCTGAAGTTGGGGATTGGATTAAGAAATTACTTTTCATGGTTGAAATGGACAAAATGACAAGGAAACTTAATAATTTGGAAGCAGAAGATTTTTTTGCAGACTGGAAAGACTTTAAAGACTATTTGGGAAAGTACTGGGATGTAAGGGACAATTTACTTTGCTTTGATAATTACTGAAGGTTAAAGGATATTAAAAAATAGATAAAGATATAAGAATAAAAAATGGAGGGATAAGTTACCTATAGATATGTATAAAAAAAGGGAGGGACGAAGAACATTTAAGAAACGAACAGGAGGTTGGAGCACTGTGGGAAGCTGAGTGGGGGGGGGAAGGGAGGAGAGTAGGATGTATAATCATATAAGTTTTGATTTATGTTTGACTTTGTTTATTATATCCTAATAAAATGGTTTTTTTAAAAAAACAGCCTAGATCCCCTAGCCTTGGCAAACTTAAGGGGACCTAGGCATCATCAGAGTGTGGCATGGGATTTGTGTGCTATACTGTTTTAAATGGCCTACTGTATTGTTTTAAATGTTTTTTTTGCTGATTTGATGTAAGCCGCCATGAGCCGGCCTTGGCTGGGAGGGCAGGGTAGAAATCTGAGGAACAAATAAATAAATACTTTCTTGCTGAAAAGCCTCCAAGCCCTAGTTAGCACCTTTTCTAAACACAGTATACTCGGCTTCCCCACTGTCATTAATTTTTTTATAAATTTTATAAAATAAATTTCAAAGATCTCCAAACAAAAACTTAAGTTTAACATCATTAACCACTGAGACATCTGGTTTTTATTAGAGTTGCATTATGCGATGCCGTATTGTATTTTAAAATGTAAATTGTGTTTTTAAATGTTTTAATTGTACTGTATTTTATTCTTGGAAGCTGCCCTGAGCCCATCAAGGAAAGGGTGGGATATAAATCCAAAAAATAAAAATAAAATAAAACAGGATCTATCTAAAACTGGTCCTCTCAAAGCAAAAAAAAATAATAATGAAAAATGAAACACAGCAAGATCTGTATTGTTCCATGTCTTTCAAAGGCAGCAGGGCTTTTTCAGAATATTTAGGATGTGTGTCCTCTCTCCTCCAGATAGCACTACTCTCACACTTGGCCATCCCTAGCAGCATCCAAAATCTCCCAGTGACTTCACCTTACTCCACAGAAAGGCCATTTCTGCTGCCTTCCCTCAATACCATCGCTGGCCCTGAAATGCAGCATAATCCAGGGCTCTTTTTGTTGAAAAAGCCCAGCAGGAACTCATTAGCATAATAGGCCACACCCAACATCAGAAACGCATTAGCATATTAGGCCACACTCCTGACAGCACAGCTCATTAGCACATTAGGCCACACCCCCGTGCCTTCCCTTGGCTTGCCCGGGCAAGCCCCCCCCCCCCCCCCCCCGAAGAGAAAGGAAGGCAATTTAAACTGCTTTCCCGTGGCTGTGAGGAGCCCGGGCAAGCCAGCCCTTGGAGGGGAGGGGAGGGGAGGGGAGGCAGTTTAAACTGCCTTCCCTTGGCTTGAGTGTAGTTGGTGTGGCCAACTTTGAAGCCAGCCGGAACTCCATTCCTGTGCGTTCCTGCCCAAAAATAGCCCTGATAATATCTTCACACATTATTATATGGGCAAAAGTGGCTCAGGCAGCATTTTTCAACAAAAAAATTATAGGGGAGAGTTTAAATTCCTTCTATTTTACTCTCCCCACCCCCAGTTTTGCCCATTGCAAAAGCAGCTCCAGTAGCTGCACTTGGAAGAACCTTTGAAAATTATCACAGAATTAAATGTAAAAATTATCCCAGAATTAAACGTCGTTCCACCCTAAATTAATGGCTATCACATAGCGTATGCCACATGTTCATTATCTGTAGGGTTGCCAACCTCCAGGTGGTAGCGGGAGATCTCCTGGGATTGCAACTGAACTCTAAGCGACAGAGATCAGTTCACCTGGAAAAAATGTACCCTTGGGAAGGTGGGCTCTACGGCACTATACCACACTGAAGTCTCTCCCCACCCCAAACCCCATCTTTCTCAGGCTCCACCTCCCAAATCTCCAGGTATTCTCCAACCCAGAGCTTGCAACCTTAATTATCAGTCAAGTGAAGCAGTACTTCCTTTTGTCTGTCCCAAGCTTACACAGTGGTATGGACTTGAAGGTTGGTGAGGTCCCCAACAATCACATGTGCAAGGACCATGGCATGATGGGTCAGAGTTTAAGAGGAATCAAATATGTTCCTTCGAAAATGTCCAGTACTGGCAGACATGCAGTACGCCTTCATTATCATTACGCTCAAGGCAGTACAAGGTCTTCTGCCTCGCAAACACACCAATGCTTGTGCCATGGCGCCCTCTGGTGTCTCTCTCCAGCTTTCAAGCTTACTACAACGGGGAAAGGACAAGCAACCGGCAATTTAGACTCTAGTTTTCTTCCGGTTTCTGAGAGAGTCTAGACACAGTGGCTAAAAATAATGAGCTGTTTCCTCCCTTTATAATTCACTAAACTCAGCAACTATTATGCCCAGTAGGGACAAGCACTAACTGGCAATTGTCGCATAGAGGGAGAGGGAGAATGTTGATGGTGCAGTGGCCGAGCTAAGAAGAGAAGCCAAAGCCTGACTGCCACGGGGAATGTGAAACCTCAGCTGTGGAATCTGGGCGTCTTAGGGATGCTAGCCTCCCGGTGGGACCTGGGGATCCCCTGGAATTACAGGTCTTCTCCAGACTACTGAGATCAGTCCGCCTGGAGAAAATGTGGAGTCTATGGCATTGTTCCCCACTGAGGTCCCAGTCCGCCCCAGGCTCCATCTCCAAATCTCCAGGAGCTTCCCAATCTGGATCTGACAACCCTACCTCCCCAAGCCCCACCAGTGGCCAGATGGGACCAGGCGATCCTAGGGCATCTCCTGAAAAAGAGAGCAGCTCCTCAGCCCTTTGGGATTTCTCCTTCTCATATGATCTGGCAAACTTGTACAGATATGGTTCTAAATACAGATCAAATTGCAGCCATCCCCCCCCCCCATTCCAACCCACTAGACTCTACCTTGCACAAGTTAAGAGAAAATCCAGAAATCCTCACTCTCTGTTCCTTAATCTTTAATTTACTAAGGTCCAAACTAGACAATATGGGTCTCCACCATTTTACCTCTGGAATTCCCTCAATTTACAAAAACTACGGGGTTTTGATCTTGCTCAGGACCCCAGCATGGAGGTAGGGGGAGAGGGCCTCCTGCCTCCCCACCCTAGACCATGTTCAAGACCCCAAAGTGGAGGGAGACAAGGAACTCTCCCCCCCCCCCCCCCCATTTCCCATTTCCACATTTGGAAAGTCTCAGGATGGGAACAATAGCGCCTTTTCCAACTGTGCTGCAGGTCTGCTCAGGAACAGGTGCCTTGTGTTTTTAAATCGCCCATTTTAGGTTTTAAAATGGCAATGTTATCCTTGCATCAGACTTGAGGATGTCATGTCTTGTTTGGCCCAGAGACACCAGGAATCTCTCCTCAGCCAATTCCATGACCCACCCGGTTCATGAGAACGGAGATCACAAATTGGCTGCCTTTTCCTACTATTACAACACTAAGTTATCCACAAGACAGCCTGCACAAAAGCCCCCTGTTATGTATTGAGATGTATATAACTGCTATGTGAATGTAAATACTGATATGTGAATCGCCTGATTGAGATGCCATGTTGAGCTTCATCCTGGGCTAGGATCCTAATGTAACCAATAGGAGCCCTAGCCCAGAGAGTGTCTACCAATCACGCTGTAAAGCGGGACCGCTTGTGATTGGACGTTATTGCTTCAACCTCATAGGTTGTTATTTGTACAGGGGGTGTGGCTACACTAGCCGGGAATGTTTAAATACAGAGCAAGCCAGTGCTTGTCCTTTGGCTCGAGTGGTTCGAATGATGGACCTGGCTGGCGATCGTTGTACCGAGTACGGAGAAGTAACAGAGCTGAAGAATAAACCGCATTCTTGCTGAATCACTATCCGGAATCACTCTCCGACTCTTTGTTAAGCGCACGACTTAACAATTGGCGACGAGGGTGGGATCCTAGTGCGGGTAGGCAGCCCCGCTAGAACGAACCCCATGTCGGACAATGAGGAGATCGCCGAGGCCGGCCAGCCACAGGCTCCACCCGCTCTGGTGGCCCCGCCTGTGCGCATAACGATGGCCGCGAGCAGCCAGAAGTTCGAATGCTTCGACCCGACTACTGAAGACTGGGACTCTTACCTCACAAGGTTTGAGTTCCATCTGGAGGCGAATGACATCACGACGGAGGAGAAGAAGAGGGCGACTCTACTCAGCTCGTGTGGAAAGAGCGTTTTTGACATCGCCCGGTCACTGGTGGCACCAGATGACCTCAAAACCGTATCCTTTGAAAGCTTGACAGACAAGCTGAAATCACATTTCTCTCCACAGCCGTCGGAAATCGCCTGCAGGCACGCTTTTTACAAGCGGGGCCAGAACGCAAATGAGTCCATAGCTGAGTACGTTGCAGCTCTTCGCAAGGCAGCACGGCCTTGCAACTTCGCGAATGTGGAGGAGGCCCTCCGAGATCGCCTCGTTTGTGGTCTGAGAGACGAGCGACTGCAGCAACGCTTGTTCGCAAGAACTACACTAACGTGGGCCATCGCCTATGCCGAGGCTGTCGCCGCGGAAGCTGCTG